CAACAGCTTCATAGAGTTTTGCTCTGAGTGAAACAGAATCCTCCACAGACACAATCAGTCTTTATGAGGCCAACAGAGGATGGAGCGTCCTGAATCTCCCTGCACAACCAGGAGATCAGAGTTAGAAAAATATCATCTGTGCACAGCAGGTGAAATTAAGTCTCGTTTTATAGATGCACACACTCGTATTAACGAATCTACAGGATACGCTTGACGTTTCCAGCAGAGAGCACTTATAGGATAATGTACCTTCTCTGAGCATCAAAAGAAATATTTGCAAGAGAATGCAGGCAAAAAAGATATAGATTGTCAACAAGACGTTGCTCTCAGGGTCAAACACAGAGGGAGTCCTCCCACTCTGTGCCTGACAGACTTTATTAATTTGGAGAACAAACCGTTTGGACAGTCACAAACATTTCATCCCTGCACTGAGCTATAAGATCTTGCACAATTTGGTGCTCTGAGTATAACTAGGGATAACTCTCAGCTACTACTACCCCAAATTTCAGCTCAGTATCTATAAAAACGACAGTTTTAATCTTTTTTTCCAGTTAGTTGTGGCAGCCATCTTGAATTAGGTAGACTCCACAGGTTAATTAGTTGTACTGTTAATGAATATTTTGAGTTTTTAAAATTAATCTGCTGGTTCATGAGGTATTTTTCGAACAGACAGACAATAAGTCACAAGCAAATACATGATCACCATTCATAGTGTCAGGTGATAAAAACTGAATCAATATTTGTTGTGCACTAGTAATTGATTATTTGATAAAGTACTCAAATACTATAATATTTGAAAGCTACTCCAAACTCTACTAATCTATTAATTGGTATCATCATCACCCTTCATCGGTACTATAGTCTTCTTACAGCTTACAGTATGATGAGTTTGGTTGTCTTGTTATCAAATATTTTACTGTCATCAGTTTTGACTCTTGCACCAGCTGTCAGCTGTTTTTTATTCTACAAAACTCCCTGATAAAATCAAAGTCCACCATCTGGCCAACATCAAATAGCAGACAGGAAACTTGCATGCAGAGATTTTCCTCCAGAGTTGGTGGAGACTAAACAAGTATTAAAGCAGTGTGGATTTTTGTCTGTCAGGTAGACTGAATTTATCTCCAAATGTTTGCTGTATGACATTTGTTTTAGGTTAGAATCAAAAGGTTTTCTCTTTTGCCATGTTTAAACACATAAACATGATTTTGTTTCAGTGAATAGATTAATAAAAGACCTCAAAAATTTGATATAAAGTGCTTTGGCCGTTAGTACATTCATGTTGACCAAAACAGTATGAAGTGATGAACAGTAATCTGTGTATCTATTGAAGAGTCAGGTTTTAAAGTGTCTGCAGGGAAGCAGGCACAGTTGAGTGGGAGGAGAAGGGCTCAGATGGTAGAGCTGTTGCCTCTCAGCAAGAAGGTTGTTGGATTGAATCCCGGCCGGGGACCTTTCTGTTTGCATGTTTTCTCTGTGCTTGTGTGGGTTAGCCACTCTGGTTTCTTCCCACAGACCCACATGACTGTTCGGCTAATTGGTATCTCTAAATTGTTCTTAGTTGTGAGTGAGGGAGTGAATACTCTGTGTAGCTCAGTGATGGACTTGCGACCTGCTACGGATGCAGATTTCCTTAATTTTGGGAGATCGTAATTGGATAAGATTGGTGGAAAAGATCTGCTTCTCGTCTACCTCCACAAAGGTCTGAAAGTCAGCCTCTGTTCCCTTTTGCTCTGCTGTGATACTACCTAATGTCCAGTTAAAACAAGTATTGTTTCTAAGGTATGGTTCAATAGTTTTCAGTAAAATAAAATTGGAACATCAAAGGTGTTTTGTCACCTTATAACACCTGACAGTGTCCGTCGTCTGAAATCGGAATTGGCAGGTCAGACTTTTTAAAGACAGAGATCAGCCAGAAAACAGTTGCACCACTACTGTTTAGGGTGTCCCCCACCCCTCACACAGTCACTGCTGGATATGGGCACCAGTGACCCCCATGACATCTGATGATGGGTAAAAGTAAAGAGCTCTCTCAAGACCTTCACAACCTTATTGTTGCAAAGCATAATGATGGCATCGGTTACAGAAGAAT